AGTTCCGCAGCATCAAAGGTTGATGCGAACTGTTCGGCATCATTACTCTTGTTGCGTATGTATAGCGCTGTAGAAAGGCAAATAACAATCAGTTTACACTCGAAATACGTATAATTTTCATTGGCTAATTTACTGATCTGTAGTTGACATCACTAAATACAGCTGAAAGTGTGGATTTTGGGAAACGCGTTTCACCACAGCGATGTTAACATCGTCAAGGGACAACGGCGTGTTATCAGAACGCGTTGCCAATACCAAGTTTTCCATCGGCTTTATTTGATTCCCTCATCCATAGATCAGTTTTAAAATCGAAAATTGCAATAATAACTTTTCCGGCCTTAAGCAACATGGTGCAGTTGGATCGCGCTTGTCACGGCCAACAAGCTGAGTTTAACCGGAGAGATTGCATTTACATCCAACTTTGTGAATTCAGTGCTTAGACAGAATGGTCGAAAGAAAACGAAGGAACAAACACGCCAGCTATCCAACCCATACTGATTTCTGCCAGAGTGCAAAAAACCAAAAGGTAAATGCAGAAGAAAATAAATTCAGAGAAAGCTTCCGTACCTTGCTAAACAAGGATTGGGAAATGCACTTTCTTATGCTGTAAATAAAGAACACAAATTGCTGAAATATTTGGAAAATTATGTTCTTGCCATTCAGTGTAATGAATGCATAAAAAAACACCATCATGATATTAATTTCGTATTTGAACGGTGTTCAAACAATTTTCACTATCCGGATATTAAATAGTTATTTCGTACGTTGGCATTCACACTGAAAACAGCTTAAAAGTGGTATTGTCACAGATCCGATGTTTTGGACCGTATCTCACAGACTTTTTTCAGAAAAGGTTGTTGATATTCTGTGTTTGTGTGTATTCATGTGCAACAGCTAATGGGTCTTGAATCGTACTTTTCATGCCGTAGCATGTACACACTTATTTTTTTATTACTGATATAGCGAATATTTTTCGAAACTTCTGCAGTGTGTTGTGTAATCCAGCTACTAGTTGATGCAGTCCCGTAACCCATTTTCCTGCGTTTCTAAACGGTCCTGATGTAGTTCTCGTTGTGTCTCAAGTACATTTAGGTTTGTGCAGTTTGCTGATGTATTAAAGCAGTTATCCAACATATTATTTATGACGATTATGACATCTATGCCAGTCCGCTACCCGCAGTTGCAGACATCCGTGTGAAGTCTGTCTGTAGAGCTTCAGGCACCTCAGTTAGTGGAAAGGTTCGAGTTTACCAT